AGCCCTCATGTTATAGTTGAAATGTGCCAAGGCCATTGATGATTCTTGGCCAGAAACCCTAGTTGAAAATAGGAAAACTGAATAAGATGAATTGGCCAGGAGTACAATGTTCCTTCACTTATCCGATTCTGTAATTAGAAAAGTAGGAGAAACCAAAACGACTGTAGAATTGTGGACTGCCTTAGAAAAACGCTATCTTAATAAGACTGTACCAAATAAATATTTTCTTTGGAGACCGTTCTTTAGATTTAAGTTTGATACTAACCTTGATACCGAAGATAATATAGATAAATTCAATAGGATCACATAAGACTTAATAAACTGTGGTGAGAAAATTTCTTATAAACAGAAGGTAGTTGGTCTGCTTAATACTCTAGGAGAGAAATATAAAGACATAAGAAATGCTCTAGAGTATGATAGAAGTGACCTAACTGTTGAAATAATTCACAGTTCTCTATTGAACAGAGAATTGGAATTGAAATATGAACACAAAGAGGTGTTTCATGTTGAGGGTGTGTCATCAAATCAAAAACCACATATGAAAGGTGTGAGTAACTTCGGTCATTCCAATTTTAACAAGAATAAGAATTTTATCAAAAGGAAATGGAGTAACACCAAAGGAAAAGATAAGAAACCAAATAAAGGAAAGGCAAACAATAACAATAAAGAAAATGCTTTTATTGTGGAAGAACAGGGCACTATCTTAAAGATTGTTTTACAAAGGCTAATGACCAAAAGAATGGGTCTAATACTGAAAATGTTTCTTTAGCCATTGTTGCTAATTACAAAGAAGCAGGAGCTAACTTTGGAGTTGCCTATGTGTCTTTATCTGAAAGTACTGATCAGGACTGGGTCCTAGATTCAGGTTGTTCTTTTTATATGACACCCAATATTAGCTGTTTTTTTTTTACTATTCTAGTCTTGATGGAGGATTTGTAAAACTTGGGAATGATGAGTCATGTCAAGTGAAGGGAGTTGGCAATGTGTTGCCGAAATTTAAAAATGGCCATCACATGTTGTTGAAACACACTAGATATGTGCCAGCACTTAGAAGAAACCTCATATCTCTGGGAGTTCTTGATGATGAAAATTACTAAATTGGAATTAAGAATGGTTCTATAAATATAACAAGAAATCAAGAACTTACTGTCAGTTCACCTAAGCTCAATGAAATTTATGTAATAGGTGCTGAAATCATTTTACCTAATAATGCTGCGAAATTTATCACACATTCTGATAAATCAGAATTATGGAATAAAAAGCTTGGCCATTTAAGTGAAAAAGTTTTAAAAACTCTATCATATCAAGGGGCATTTGGGAATGATAGTGTTAAAAAATTAACTTTTTGTGAACATTGTATAATTGGAAAACAAGTCAGATTGCCCTTTAAAGCAAGGACTGTATAAGTCCCAAAATGTCCTTGAATATATACATTCTAATTTATAGAGACCTGTACCTGTTCCTACAGTATCTGGTTACAAATATTATCTTCTCACCATTGATGATTACTCAAAGAAAATATGGATTTTCTTATTAAAATCTAAGTCTGATACTTTTGCAACTTTTAAAGATTAGAATGTATTAATTGAAAATCAGACTGGTAAGAAGATAAAAATATTAAGAACTACAATGGGCTTGAATTCTATAATTCAGAATTTGACCAATATTGTAATAAACAATGGATTATGAGACATAAAACAATTAGCTATTCTCCTCAGCAAAATGGGGTTGCTGAGAGATTAAATAGAACTATTCTTGAGAGGACAAGATGTATGTTGATCGGCTATGGCCTTCCAAAAATCTTTTGGGGTGAGATAGTAAAAATTTTCTGTTATCTAATAAATAGATGTCCTTCAAGCTCTCTAAACAATAAAATTCCTAAGCAAATCTGGTCTGGTACATTCCCAGACTACTCCTATCTTAGAACCTTTAGATGTGCTACATATGCACATCATACAGAATCAAAACTGGACCCTAGATCATTGAAGGGTGTGTTCTTAGGATATGGAGAAGGAGTTAAAGGCTATAAACTGTGGTTAAGAGATATGAGAAGGTACAAGGTGATAATAAGTAGATCTGTTATCTTTAATGAAGATGACTTTCCTTATCTTAGTGACATAGAAAAATTAGGAAATGATGAGTTTATTATCACTGAAATAAATCTGAATAGGGAGATTTTAAATGACTACACTCAGTTTGAGGTGGATCCACATCAGGTAGAATCACAGATCATTATAGATGATGAAATTCTTGAAAAGGATCAACATCTGGAGCCTGCAAATGACTTGCAGGACTACAGCTTGCTAGGGACAGAGAAATGAGGCAAATAAGACCTCTTTCCAGGTATCAGTGCGCTGATTTTGTGTCTGCCCACTTTGAACCCAATTTGTTTGACATAGAACCTACCTCTTATGAAGAGGCTATTTTTTCCCAAAGAATCCCTTAAGTGGATTGCTGCAATGGAAGATGAGATGAACTCCCTACATAAGAATAAAACCTAGATCTTAGTTGAAAAACCCAAAGATTGTAAATTGATTGATTGTAAATGGGTATATAAGATCAAAAAATGTGAGATAAAGATAAATGATAAAAGGTATAAGACAAGACTTGTAGCTAAAGATTTCAATGAAAGAGAAGGTATAGACTATACTGAAATTTTTTCACTCGTAGTTAAATATACATCTATTAGAGTCCTACTTGCCATAGTGACACAATTTGACTTAGAGTTAGAACAACTTTACATGAAAAATGCTTTCTTGTATGGTTTTTTAGATGAAACCATACATATGACTCAACCAAGAAGGTTTGAAGTAAAAGGAAAGGGGAACTTAGTGTGTCTCTTGAAAAAATCTTTGTATGGCCTAAAACAGGCTCCTAGAAAGTGGTATAAAAGATTTGACTCTTTTATACAAGGTTTGAATTTTAAAAAATCAGAATATGATCCCTGTTTTTACTAAAAAAGAGATGGTGAATCTGAATTTTTCTATCTTCTCTTGTATGTTGATGATATGCTCCTTGTTGGTCATAATTCTGTTGCACTAAATTCAATTAAAGAAAAGTTGAAATCAGAATTCGAAATGAAAGATTTAGGACTAGCCAGAAAAATTTTGGGCATGGAAATAAAAAGGGATAGAATAATGGAAAGTTGTTTCTAACACAAAAATCTTATGTTGATAAGGTAATTAAAAGATTTTCCCTTCATGATACTAAGCCTGTTAGCCTGCCTTTATCTACCAGTATGAAATTATATGCTGATCAATTACCTAAAACTGAAGATGAATATAGATGAATGATGAATGTCCCTTATTCTAATGTTGTTGGATCTGTAATGTATGTTATGATATACTCTAGACCTGATATTGCTTATGTGTGAGTGTGATAAGCAGATTTATGAGTAACCCAGGTTAATTGCATTGGCAATGCATAAAAGATTTGATTAAATATCTGAAAGGAACAAGTCAATTAGGTCTAATGTTCAAAACTAATAAAAATGGACTTACATTAAAAGGTTATGTGGATTCAAATATCATTAGCTGGAAATCCCAACTTCAAAAATTGGTTGCTTTGTCTTCAATTGAGGCTGAATACATTGCTACAACTGAAGCAGTGAAGGAGGGATTATGATTGAAGGGTTTACCTGATGAATTAGGTCTTATAGAAAATCAAGTGGAGCTGTGTTCTGACAACCAAAATGCAATTTTCTTAAGTAAAAACCATATTTTGCATGATAGATCCAAGCACATAGATGTAAAGTTCCATTTTATTAGAGATATAATTGATAGGGGTGATATTAAATTGATCAAAATTTCTACTAAGGTAAATCCTGCAGATGCTGGAACCAAGGTAATCCTTATTAGTAAGTTTACCGATTCTTTAAGATTGATTAATCTTGAAGCATAATAACTTTGTGTTTTTGTACAGGTGATGAGAGCAAATAAAGTATAGACTAAGTTTTGAATTCACTTATAAATCGTCACAAAATGCAGCAAAAGGTAGAGATTGTAGAAGATGGTTTGCAGAATTTTTGTGAGGCACGGACATGTGTTTTTTGTCTTCTGGCCCAAATTGTTTGTAGCTCGATATGGTGACCTAGTAAGTGGAAGAATCTGGAATGAAGGAAACCGGTTTTAACAAAACGTGTTTGTTGACTTAAAAAGGCACTTTCACTGGATTATTGACAAGTGACAAGGCATGGACCATTGGATCAAATGCAAGACTCTCTCTCTCTCTCTCATAAAAGCAAAAATATCCAGGGTCGTCAAAGGTGAATATCATTCCAGCAGCTTCTCTCTCATTTTGTTTTTCATTTTCTCTAAAAGTCTTACACTTCTATGATTTCTTTGTGATTTTATGAGAGAAAATATTCTTGTGATGAACTCTTGTGTGAGTTCTAGATTATTGTGAGAAGATCTTGTATGTTTGAGGGAGTTAGAACTAAGTGTTCTGTAACGAAACTTTTGCCTACTATTGTGGCGATTTATAGTGGATTCGAGCTTAATCTTAATGGATGCTCAATAGGATTCGGTGTTGGAAGCGGTCGCCGAACCTCGGGGCCTTTGGGCTGAAAAATCTTGTGTTTAGATCTTGTTATTTTCTGATTTTAATTGTGTTTGATTTATGAGTTAAAGACACAAACATATTACTTCGGACCAACACCCATGTCCATGATCAAAATGGAATGTCAAGCACAAGACGAGGGTTAGGATTCTTAATAGCAATATTTAATGAAAGTATCTCTTCTATTCGTCAGTAATTATCATTAGCAATATTTTCTTGATTATCAACATACTAATGCTCGATAAATGATTATTTTGTTGTAATGGTGTATTATGAGGCAAGAGTTGTAGATTAACAAAATGAATCCTAAACCCATTTTGTTAATGAATTGCTTTCGTGCTTATAAAGTAGTTACTGACTTTGATTCGGTACGCTAAAATGCAATGTGTGTCTATTGCATAGTTAATAAATTTTCATATGGAGAAATCAAATTTAACATAGAATTAACCAAACAGAACCACCAGTAACAAACAATTCACTATGTTTATAGGTTTCCAAACAAATGTAGAAAAATATTATGACACACCAGCATCCATATCTCTTCAAAAGGAAGCTCAAGACAAATCAAGGGTTGAAACAAAGGAAGAAAAATAAAAATGGAAAGCATGACGACGAATACGACTTGGTCAAAGACCATGAAACAGGAACAATCGCATTATTCTTCACATTGTAAAGGTTGTATAGCATAACTAGTTTTGGGGCTTCTCCCATTTGAGGGGCTTAGTTACCTCCCATGTGAAGTCGGGGTCATCTCTTCCGAAGTGGCCATATGCAGCGGTTTTCAAGAACCTTCCATTTCCGCCCCTCTTCAAGTCCAAATTAATGGAAATCATTCCGGGTCTGAAATCGAAATTTTCCTTCACAATCTTCAAGATGTCCTTATCGGGGATGCTCCCGGTGCCATAAGTATCAACAAACACAGACAATGGCTCAGGCACGCCAATGGCATATGAGACCTGCACTATGCATCTGCGAGCAAGGCCATTTGCGACAATGCTCTTGGCAGCCTGCCTAACAATGTAGGCCCCACTTCTGTCGACCTTGGTAGGGTCCTTTCCCGAGAAGGCACCCCCACCATGGGCACCCCACCCACCATAGGTGTCAATAATGATTTTACGACCTGTGAGACCAGCATCACCATGGGGCCCGCCAATAACAAACCTGCCAGACGGGTTCAGGTGGAAGATTGTCTTTTCGTCGAGGTACTTCTCAGGGATGACAGGTTTGATGACGTGTTCCTTAAGGTCCTTGGCAATCTCATCATTAGTAACAGTTTCATCGTGCTGAGTCGAGATGAGAACAGTGTGGACTCTAACGGGAACCATTGCACCATTGTCATTGAAGTACTCGACTGTAACCTGGGTTTTTCCATCAGGTCTCAACCACGAACATGTACCATTCTTCCGGACTTCAGTGAGGCGGGCACCAAGTTTAGTAGCAAGCACATGGCTGAGCGGCATGAGCTCAGGGGTCTCATCTGTGGCATAGCCAAACATGTGGCCTTGATCGCCGGCACCAATCTCCTCAGGACGCTTGGTTAGATGACCGTGGACACCTTGAGCAATATCAGGGCTCTGTTGCTCAATGTTGACTAGGACCTTACACTTGTCTGCGTCAAGACCAACATCATCAGATGTAAATCCTATGTTACGGCAGGTGTCACGAACGATCTTCTCATAGTCTATGTTTCCCTTGGTTGTGATCTCACCGAAGACCATTACCATGTTTGTCTTGGTACAAGTCTCACAGGCAACTTTGCTATCGGGATCCTGTTCAAGGCAGGCATCAAGCACTGCATCTGATATCTGATCACAGAGCTTGTCAGGGTGACCCTCATTCACAGACTCAGAGGTGAATAGGAAGGTGTCCATGTTTTCAACCTGCACAAGTTAAAATTACATTCATATAGTCTGAGTTCATTGTAATTAAGATGAATTCAACCCTGTCAAGTAAGGAAAACGTAACACACAAATATAAAATCAGACTATCTATCAATCACTATAAAACCAAGTAACTTGTGCATATGAATTGCCACCATACGTGCACTTCTCTTACAAGTGAATAGATATGTGTATTTCATGAGTGCCAGAAGAAAAATGAACACGAAGTATATGCCTGGGAAAAGCAATTGACAATTTCTGAAAAGGTCATACATAAAGAGACAAGTTCTTTGCAGACAGTAATAAAAACGAAAAGAAAAAAACTTATTATTCACCGGTATATTCCATAGAATAGATTCGGAAATAAAGGGTGCGTCTTTAACTTTATACCTAGAAAGAATATCAGCACCTATTGGGCTAAATAAGGAAGCCAACTTTACAAAAAAAAAAAAAAAAATTAGGAACAGAGGTCCACAAGTTCTTTGCTTCTTCTTTTTTAACCTACCAAGATAAGTTTGCTGTACAACCTTCAAGAAGAAAATGGTACTTTCAGGTGGTTGGGGGCATCTCAAATCTAGTATAGGTCTGATTCGAGGGGAACAAAACAGCCAATCCACTGATTTAACTACTTAGATACATTCTGAACATCTAGACTGAAAATCAAGAAACCATCCTTAATAATTGTTGCAGCAAAATTTGACGCTTAACCAATACAAGGAACGACGCATAGACATCATGTAAATTGAACTTTGTTGAAGTCATCAACAATTACCATCAACCAAACTGCTTTGTTTGGAAGCTTTAAGTACAGATCTAGATCTCACTTTGTCCAAGACATTTCTTTCAAATTAAATCCATAACAAACGAAATAGAGACAACAAAACCTTATTCTCAATCAATTTCTCGACTCCTTTTATGAAGTTGATCCCAGATTACAACAAGAAGAAAGTCTTATTGCCATTAAATTAGAGGTTTTCCCC